AACGTGTCGGTAGTCTCTGTGGTTCCTATAGAATGTATATCGTTACCTATCTATGACGAGAGACGTATAAATAATGTCTCTTGTACAGAGTCCAGTCTGTGTGTACATTATGTGGTTAGTCCTATTGTGTGCTCAATTGTACCTGTAAGTGGTCAATGCTGTTTATTGATACACCTGTAACACTTGTGTGGACTGGTCAGTTCTGGTCACTTTTCACCTGGAGAGATCCTGTAGTTATACACCTCATTCCCGGGTTTACAAATCTCATGCACGGTCAGGGTCCGCCTGGTGTTATATTTCTTCTTGAGCTCCCACCGCTGTAGTCACATCCCCTCCCAAACCCCCTCCCCTTAACCCCCTCCCATAAACCCTCTCATCTCCGGTCATATATCCTGGCGGCTCAAACATCACACGGTACTGCTCCAACATCACTAGTCGGTTATAAATAACGACTTTATAGAAATGACATATGAAGATTTGTAAGAGCCCTGGGAACCTTTTGTTGGTGGCCATCAATATCCCGTTTTATTAGAGAATTTCATTCTTGTTACACGTGACCGTGGGTGTCCTAATTACTCCCTGTCTCCTCAACCTTAACCTCCACCACCTCTCGTCCATCTTCCTCCATTAAATTTTCCTATCTACATGTAATACGAATTTGGACGTATACTTCCTAATAGACTTAAATTGATAATTATATCTTAAGTTTAGGATTTACTCAAAGACATTATTTTGGTTTATTTATTAATATTGATATGATTATATAATTATTTTTTAAGTATTTATTTGTTCATTTTTAAGTGCGCATCTTTGAAAAAAAGCAGGTTTCCGCCTTAGTGTTCCTATTTATTGTTTTATAAGTTTTATACAAAACACACAGAAAGTCTTAAAAATTCTATTTTATCACGGACTTCTAGACGTAGTATACTTTGTCTAAGAATTATATTATATCTAAGTCCCGTAATTGTATTTATTTTTTATTACAGGATATTTAGAATTTTCAAGTCTCTTTAAAATTTCAAAGATGCATTATTCATTGATAGACGAGGAGGAAAGTTTCATTTATTTCAGTAAGTCTTGATTTTCTCTTGGATAAAAACTTTCCCACAGATGATCAACATGAATGAGTTGTTTTTGCGATGTAGATAACTGATTCTATATCAACATGCTTTCGTTACTAAGTCGCTGACTGTTGGTCGACAAACGATTTTCTCACCCAACTGTCACTTCCCAAACCCGTCCCTCACGAGACATGATGTTCATCCCCTCACAAATGTCATCCGTGTCATTTTGGGAGGAACAGAAGAGAGTTGTCCCCCTCTCCCAAAAAACTCGTCCACGTAAATCCGATAATCCTCTCAGATCTCGTGAACAAAATTAGAGAGAAAGTGTTAGAAAGTGTAACCCCTTCCCTACAGGTAAAGTCCCCCCCCAGTACGTCATCATCCCCGAACTCATGCCACATGTGCCAGTAAGCAACTCAATGGAGAATTAAAACAACAATACCAAATGTTTTAGTAGGCAAACGTAAAATTCAACAACAGATTTCCCAACTTACTGTTTTCTTAGCAATAAATACACAGACCTACGTGTCATATGTGGACGGAAATCTTCTAACGTGTGGCCACTATTGTTTTGATAATGTCATTCACGACCAGATGACTTACATTGTTAATATTTCAAATAAGGTAATTAGTTAACAATGTTTTAATCTATCGCACCTGGAAAGGTAGTAACAACCATGATTAGCCTTATGGTGCGTATTTTACCGAAAATTAATTTATTCTATAACTTTTAACGTATCTGAAATTTTAACAGACAAATCGACTTTAAGCAGAATGAGGATATTTGTTACATGACAATTTTCATTTAAAACAAAACCTGCGATTAAATTCTTCACCCGAAATTCAATTTCTTTTAATATGAAAATATACAAACTGTTCTTTATATAAGATGCTTAAAAAATGAAAGTTGGCATCAAAATGATTAATAGATTAATGTAGTAATTATTGACAGTGTGTTGGGGATGGTCTGCTGACATCAGGCAAGCAAGTACGTGTTAATCTATGTAAGGATCAATTAACAGAGCCCAGGTAATGAAACAGAAGAGCTGACACGTAATTATTGGGTTCACAATTATCTCCGATCCTATACAATCCATGTGGCACTGATGTATGGTTAACTGACGTAATGTTAATTTACACATTGTTATACATCACATTCTTCACATTGTTTCAATTCTAAAATTCTATTGGAAAATATCAATGGAAATTTGTTGTAAATAGTAATGTTTGTATGAATGTCTTGTGTAGGAATATATACAGGTAAATCAAACATCAACACAGGTTTTTGTTTACACCTGTCCACATATGTCAATTCCATTTCTTCGTCATTGATTATTTAGCTATGGTAAAAATTCGGAAAATGCCAATTAATTATCTATTGATTTAATGTGATCGATATTAGATAGATTGGTGTTTGTTATTGGTAAATGTCACACAGCAGTAACCGAGAGAAGGAGATTAACTTTTACATATAGCTGTATGTGCTCATGAATTTTTTTTCGTATATTTTGAATATCTGAGTTGTATTTTATCTTGAACATTCAAATTAAAATCTGGAAAAACGGAAATACTATGTAAGTCAGACGATATATCATATGATTTTCTGTAATATTTGCGTAAGGGAAATGAGTTAAAAAGATAAATTTTTTCTTTAAATACTACGATTACTATAAATTCGATGGAATGTGGGGAATGTTTAAATTATTGAGTTCACTATTCCTTTTGTCGATAAATTTACTATTGGTAGAACTTTGAAAAACTTGATTGATTTATTTATCTTTAATTGACCAGTATCAGGATAAGCCTTGGTATCAGTAAAACGAGGACCAGGGATTACGTGTGTTATCTGGGCTAAGGCGGTAGAGTCGTCTTATAAGTATAAATCCAAGGATTCCATGTGCCTCTCCACATTTACTCGTTAGTTGATTGAATAATTTTATCCTTATTGAATAAAACTTAAGACAATAATAACTGTCAATACACAGTTTGCTTTACAAAGAATTCACTTTCAATTTTACTTTACTGGTATTGACTGTCAAACTCGATATCTGTATTTAAGTATTTGGCTGGACGGTGAGATGATTTGAAGAGATCATGGACTGAGTTAATAGCTTATCCAGTGTTAATATGTAAATAGATGTTGTATTTGTTTTTGTTAGAAATCTTAGCAGTCGTTAAAATACAAATGAAAAGATATGTAAAAATCTTAAAACTATTAGATATCAGGACAAATAAAAAAAATACTGCACAAAACCGTTCACAAAGGCACAGCAGTACAAAAATAACAAAATACTACATAAATACAAATTGTAAAAAAAGAAAAGTGCATAACATCTTATCACTATTGTATATCAGAAACACAACATAATACACACCATTGTAAACAAAACAACCAAATAGCCTACACAAAGTCACACAGTAATACACAAAGTCACACAGTAGTACACAAAGTCACACAGTAGTACACAAAGTCACTCAATAATACACAAAGACAACACAGTAAAGAAGACACACCATATAACACAAAGACACGCCATAGTGAACGAAGACACACCATATAACACAAAGACACGCCATAGTGAACGAAGACACACCATATAATACAAAGACACGCCATAGTGAACGAAGACACACCAGATAACACAAAGACACGCAATAGTAAACAAAACGACAAAAATACAAATTACTTTAATGAAAACACACAATTTAAAAATAAAAATAATGAAAATAAAAGAAAAAATAAATAAAATGTAAGAATAACAAACCGATAGAAAGTTGAAGCACAAGATAATTATAAAAGAAAATTCCTATCGATACTACATGTGATTTTGTGATTAAGTTTAATAAGATATTATCTAGATAAACGATAGTTAATCAACAGCCGATAGGGCCGAGAAAACAAATGTTGGTACAGACACTGAAGATCCGTGAATTATAGAAATGTATATAAAATATGTCTTGTTTACAATTCAGTAACCGGAGAGTGGGGACATGATATAGAGATGTGTTTATATAAACTAGCTGACATTCTACTCGTAATGTATGGAAAAAACCCAATATTTTCAAAATTCGCCTAAAGTTAAAAGTGAATGTTACAAGGATATCGTTGTAGTTTATACCTATCATCTTGTACAAAATAATTTATATTTGATAGATATTGATGTTAATTTCTATAAAACTAATTACAAAAGAACATTAAATAGTAAAAATTTAAAAAGACACTATATCAACAGTGAAAATTTTAGAGAAAATCTGAAAAAAAAGATTAAATTAATTATACAAAATTTTGTTTACACAGAATTATCCACTAAGAACAGTAAGAATTTCATTATTTTGTAATTAAAGAATTATTGACCAGTTTTAATAGTCAGTATTTACCCAGCGTTTTCTGTACACACTCTGCTTTGGTTGATCACACAAACGTAACGCAATAATCATAATTATTCAAATGAACAAATATTTTAATATCTATATTTACAAATTGGGCTTTTGAAAACATTAATTTTCAATTACATGCGTCCTATATTTGTATATGCATTTAGAAACTTCTAAATGGCGGTATCAATTTTTATGACTTAGTTGTCAAATCGATTATTTCATAATTGTTAGTATTGGAATACAATTGTTACCTGGGTCATGAATATTCAATTCACGAATACATTTCACGAGTGACCACGCCCACTTTTAAACAATAAACGAATGGAGCCAGTCTTAGCACCGCCCATTTTTAATCCTCCGGGCATTGATTGGTCAGAGGTAATCGACGGTATCGGCAAGATCAAAGGATCACATGATTGAAATCTACCCAGAGTGTTAGTTTGTAAACATGTGTAAGTCATTCAGGGAAACACTTTACAGATTGGGTCGAAACGTTTCCAACACAGCCTCTTATACACTGAACGCAGTTTTTCGACAAAGTTGACAAATATTCCACAAATGTTAGATTCGGCAACAACCTGCGACTTCAAACTGGAGACTAAGAATCTTGGAGATTCTGGATTTGCGGAATTAGAAAATTGTTGTGAAATGAAATCAACACACCTGAATGTTTCCCACCTGCTCAATGCAGTAGACAGTGAAATGACAGTGGGCAGCGAAAAAGGAGACCCAACAGAAAGACAATTACACGTAAAGCTCGAAGATAAGGAACTATGGGGAAAATTCAAGGAGTTCACAAACGAAATGATCGTCACCAAAAATGGCAGGTAAGTCTCTCAATGTTTTTTACCTGTAAACTATCGTCACGCATGGTTGTACCAAACATCAAGATTTCAGCTATTAGTTACAAAGAAGCCGGGAAAATAACTAAACCTTTTATTATCATAAATATTGTAAGGTTACTTGTTCGATCTCTGTTCATATTAAACGTACGTTAAAGGAAGATTTTAATGATTCTGAAGACACTCCACCTGTTTGTTGGCTTATTGTCCATTCTGTGCGTGACCAAGTGTACGGTCGGTATCATCAAAAAATACCCCCCCATTCACAAATTATACCGACTGAATTTAATGAGTGGACGGTGTCTTGGTTTGTTAGACCGATTATAGGAAGTTAAATATTATTTCATAAAGTGTTTTAAGTATTTGTAGTGTTATGTGGATAAGTCCTTAATTGTCTTGACAGGGAAACCGTTCATATTTATACAGTATCACAGGATTAACATTCCAAAGGACTATATGTTTCAGAATATATAAACAAACATCGACAATTTGCTGGTTAATTACGTGTAAATTCACTGGTAAGCTATGATAGATATTATAACTGTGATAAAATCTGACCAAATATCGAACGATTGTCTTCACGGATGCTACTTTTAGGCATATTCTTACCTTAAAATACCTTATTTTAAAAATTCCGATATTCAAATATCTGTGTTATAAGCATGTCGGTATTGTTATAACTCATGCATTTGTAGTTTACAACGTCTTTCATTTGAAAACTATGATATCCGCTTAAATACATTGAAAATATCAGTTAAATATAAACGTTAAAGAAGGTAGAGATAAGTCTATATCTTGCTTTCGTAATCAAGATTTTTTTATCGAGAAGGTAGTTTGATAATGGTATGTAAACAGTGTATTAGTCATCTGCAAAATTACTGAAATATTTTTATAATGGTTAGTTTAATAAACTTGTCGAAACTCTTCAGTCGACGATGCAGTGTTTTATTGAAATTCAAATAATCTTTTTCAAGTTTACTCATGCAGAAAAACTAGAAATGACTAGAACGATTATTTCTAACATGTATTTACAGGATAGCTCTTGCAGAACGAAATGCATTTCTCTACAACAGCGTTTTCATTTCAGATACCCATTTGGGTAAAATATCCTTTGAAGAAACTGTTATTAGTTTTACCGAATTCATTGTTCAAATGAAAAGTGAACGGTCCGGACGGCTATTTCTTTTCTAAGTACAGAAAAAGCATTTTTCTCTCTCTATAGTTGCTTATGATAGATAAATGGCAAGTGATAGAGATCTTTCTTAAATATATTGGTCCAACGGTTGACTTGTCTCCTGTGGCCTCCAAACCAGAAATATGTGACAGAAGGATATTTATTTTTGATTAGTGGGATTGTTTTTAAACAAAAGTATTTATATTTCGACAACCGTAAGTCCCTTTTAATATATATTACCGCAGTGGTTAAAATCACGACCAATATGAAGGGACAGAAAAATGTTAATTATCAAAAAATAAACATATAAAAGTTGTAGATACTAAATTGTATAATAATTACTTTCTCTACTATTACATATCAATACAAAATTAGAGAGTTTTCTTTTCATACCAACTTAATTTCATATGAATAACAATATTTAATAACATTTAGTAGTTACCGAAGAAATAAACTATAAATCTCTCTACGTATTAAAAAATTAAAATTATAAATACCAACAAATTAGTCACGTGCTATTGTCGATATGACCAAGCAAGAGATACATTTATGGTGAATGCTAAATCTATATTTAAATAAAATTTACAAAATTAAAAAAAATGTAGTTATCAGTTTGATCTATTGACACAGTTGTTGAGGTATATTAAAAGTGAAAGCGAGGTTTTGAAATTTAAGATAATTATTTCAAATCATAATTCTGAAAATTTGAATTTTGAAATCATTACCTGAAGTCATAATTCTTAAGTTTTGAAGGTGACTATGTCGACATCAGTGACATATTAATTAAACACACCTAAATCTTTACAAGTAATGAATGTTATAAAAATGTTCAAATCTTTGATGAAGAAAACAATATAAATACCTCATCATCACCTTCCATTGCATTTCCTAATACATATTTAGTAACAATTGATAAAAAGAAAATGAAAAAAAAAATGTTTTGATCAGTTACAACACAAACTGTCAAATTGACTAATTATAAATTAAAATGTAATAACTCTAGAAATTGATACACAACGTCCTTTACCGACTAAGTATTGAGTACAACATTCTTTATTAATCTTTTACTATATATACCTCATCTACGGGTCTATTGGGGTCCATCAGTATAACACACATGGGCACGTCTGGATGGTATCTATGAACGAAAATGTTTGGACACAGAGAAACATATCAAGATGAATAAAAACGGGGAATGCTCATGATAAATGAGTTATTTGTTTGGGTATCTACTGAGAATTACCCAGACTGAAGAAAACTTATAGTCTGTACAATTTTTACACCAGATAACACTAAGATTTCCACTAAACCTATAATTATGATACCATAGTCTTAGAGTCATTCACAATCACATTAATGGTGTGAAAATTTCATCTCAGGCATATCATCAGTCAGCTGTTAAAGATTGTATAATATAAAATCATTCTAAAATCTTCGAATATATTAAATTAAAGATATATAAAAAAATAAATTCCAGTGCTTCTGACGTCTGTTCTCTGTTGTAGTCCTCATCATTTATGATAACACGATCTGTCAATGATAATATTTCTCTGAATGGGTTTACAAAGAGTTTGGTGTGAAGTGTAGTAGTATTACAACTTTTCCTACCAAGATGACAAAATATTTCTATACCCATGTAGAAAATGGAAGCATCATATCTGATATGAATTCATAAATAGTATGAGTCACTGCGTATTCCTCGATGTGTAAATTTAGCGAATTAAGCAACAATGACCGGACTTTGATTATGATCTTTATCATATTTTTTTTTCTCATTTGGTACCACTGAAAAAAAGCAGCATTCAAAACGTCATATCATCCACAGAATACATATAAGCTATTTCTGTAGGGATTTTTTTCACTTTCATTATTCAGAAAACAAATTCAGTATCATAAATCCTGATATGTAGAGAAAGTAAAGACAAAGCTATTTATATATATATTTTCATAACTTTTAAATGTTTGAATATTAAAATCAAACATTTTTCTGTGTTCTTATTTATCAACAATTCCGTTTTAAAAATATTATAGAATTACAATATATTTCGGACTAAAAATGCCAAACAATAATTTTTTCTTGAATGAGAATTTGAATTTATTTAAATTCACGACGTATACTTAATATGGATTCTGTTATTAGTAACACGCACTTGTTACTAATATATAAAAGTATTACTGTGAGTGCCGCCTCCCTCAGCGGTACGTGCAAGTGTGGCTTCAGGTACCTGTCAAGTGGCTCAGCTTTATAAACGTGTTTCCTAAACCTCCCCCCAATTAATACCCCTCCCATATCTGTATCATAACACCGACTTATGAAACAGGTGTAATCGGTAGTTAACCTCGGCAAGCTAGGTGACCACCGCGGCTCTCAATAATGGTGTGATTGTACCTATAGTGTAACAACGTATAACAGGATCCCTGCAATACATGTATTATACAAATATAACATTTGACATTATCACGTTCCAAAAATCTGATTTATATTCGAACCGTTTTGTAATCATTGCAGTGGATGTAATAAAAGTTAAAAAATAAGTTTTATTATCTCAATTCTTCAATGGAATTAATTCATATAAAAAAATTAAATATCTGGATTGAAAAAAAGGATATGTTACAATTATCGCTTAATCGATGCAGAGTGAAACCGTTTATTATGTTTCGGTCCAAATGAATTATATCAGAGCAGAGAAACTCCGAGTGCTCAAATCAGAGGGCCATAATTTAATAATGAGTGATTCAGTTAATTACAAACTCTTAACAAAAGGTGAATGCCAGGCTTCCAAAGCCGCTTTTAATCATTTTCCGATTAAAAATAAATGTAATCAACTGATCTTTTAAAATTCTCTTTATTTCATATGCAAATGGAAAATAGGATTTAACAGGATGAAAAAAGTCACAATTAGGAATTACGAGATACCTATGTGATTACATATCTCCCCCCTTCCCTATTTAATTTGTTTTACATATGTATGTTTCGAGATTTTTCGTCGTGTACATCAGGTCAGTCTTTATAAACAATCTGATGTAAATTCAGATATTTTTTTTTACATTAGTTAAAAGTTACGGTTTCGGGTTTTAATTTGATATTTATCAGGGAAACAAACACTCATCATTCAGTTATATTATTGACATCAATGATCTTTAAAAAAAACTCACATAAATACGGTTCTGAAATGGTTTCAAAAATACCAAAGTAGGCCACAATGAACCCTAGTAATCCTGTTCAGGTGACATCTAATTAAAATTGCAAATTAAAAAGCTGACATACATTAATGGTAATTTTCCTTATTGAATATATTTATTTAAATTTTCTTGTTAAAATATCAAATTAATACAATTTGTGAACTTATATACACAGAGATCTTTATAATAGGTCTTTATTATAGGAAAATTAGAGTATCAACACGATGGATGGCTTCATGTCTCGTTCACCTCTGATACATTACACGGATTATTGCTGATATCATAGTGTAACTAATTCATAATAAGGTGTGACCCTCTTTATCATTAAGTCATCAGCATCAAATCATGAACACGTAAGAAAAAATACATAAAATAACAATGAATAAATAAACAAGCAAACAGGTCAATACGAATATAAGATAAATGAAAAATAAAGAATACATTTTGTATATAGAGGCACATGAAACATTTTTATAAAAAATGAAGTACTAAATAAAAACTTGTTTTAAAAAAAGAAAGGAAAAGAAAAAGCAAGATAAGAAAGAAAAAACGTTACAACAAAATACAGCAATTGGGAAGAAAATTTGCGCCTAACAAGGTACTTCACGCAGAATTCAAGGCTTAGATGACGGATAAATCCACATAAAGGTGGACCGTATGGTTTCTATGGCAACAAAGACAGGGATACCGGTAGTCAGTTTTATCGAGATAATGGTTATTGAAAAAACATGTTTCATCAGTGTCTGTTTTATTCTTAACTAGAAATTACAACGACGAACGACGGATTTTGAAATATTCTTTTATTCATAGAAAAATTCAATATATTTTTTGTGTGAAAAATAAACAATCTGCCTCTCATAATTTTCACCAAAAAATATCTTTACTTACGTTTCAGACGAATGTTTCCGGTTTTCCGAGTAACCATTTCCGGCTTGGACCCCAATGCTATGTACACGGTCCTGTTAGATTTTACCCAAGTGGACAGTCACAGGTGGAAATATGTGAACGGTGACTGGGTCGCGGGGGGTAAAGCCGAGCCAGCCGCTCCCAACTGTGTATACATCCATCCCGACTCGCCAAACTTCGGCGCTCACTGGATGAAGGAGACAGTAACTTTTAGCAAGGTTAAACTCACCAACAAACTCAACGGCGGTGGACAGGTCAGTACATTATCTGATAATTCAATCTTCCTCATTATTGCCTTTTGTTTCGTATGTTTCTAAGAGCGGGCTTCCATGTATATATCAGAGGCCGCGGTGGATTAGGCGATGAGAGAGCTGGGTTACGTAACCTCAATTAGAGATCCGAGGTACGTGGCTCGACTCTCTCAACTCTTGGTTTCCCAGAGAAACGGAACTGTCTGTGTTGACGTGTTTGTGTCCTTGCGTGAGACACTTAACCCTGATTGCTCTTGATGGCATGCGACGGAACTCCTGTATGTTGTTCAGTGAGGTAGTCACCGGTTACTGAATGGTGATTTGTCCAAAACGATACTGACTGTTCACGGGGCAATAGACCCAGCAAACGAAATTTGATGCACATGTTTCGGTATATGTCAGTATGTGGTCAACTTAGATGTCTTATTGAAATAATAAACACTTTTGTTTTTTTCTACGCCTTTGTTATCGGACAGTCTTTATTCTTTGCGACATTTTACGCGAAGTTTATGAGAGAGGAAAGTAAGAAATGATATTTTATGATAGTGTGTGAAACATGAAGGCGAGCAGTGGTGTACTTGGACATATTGTATGATGGGGACATGGCGACAGATCCAGCGATTACCGCGCCATTATCAGCCCATTTGCTGGTTATTTCGGGGATATTGGAGCCCCATTAAATCCCCATTCTACACGCGATCTTTCCTTGATGTTCATAAAGAGTCAACACATACTGGAGCCAGAGCCACAATCTTCAAACACGTTCAGCAGTTGGCAAAACGAGCGAGCAAATCGGAATAAGTTACGGTAGAACGGCTGAAATCGGGCTTGACCATTCCAAACAATGCCCAAAGTGACCACAGTATATATCAGATTAACCATCCCTATAGTCCATTTAGACTTCTGGTCAAGCCTCTAAGGGTTTTCACCTTACCTCCAATGTCTTTATATGAGACTTATGTCACGGCTATTTCCGCCCATTACGGTCCATTTTATAGACTGACCGTTCTCAGTGTTTATAGAGCTATCAAACACAATAACGATCTCGTGTTCATGCTCCGATTTTCAAATCAAACACTTTTTGATGTGAAAGACTGAGTTTGAGTAAACATTGAATAGTTAGAATATAAATTCTTAAACAAGATGATACTAATTTGAGGGTGAAATTTCACAGTATACATTAAATACGCCGTGTCTTGGTAATTCTATGTTCCATGGCTGATATCAACATTACCACTTTGTCCAGGCTAATCATTACAGCAGACATTGCCGTTTATTGACTTAAAATCAAAGGTTGGCCACGAAACCTTGAACTCTTTGTAGCAGTACAATACATGTAATTCGAAGTGTTGACCCCCAAAATGAAGACTGGCCCCTGTCTCTAGAATATAAAAAATATAACTAAATTGGGCAAACTTTGGTTGATATAAGGTAAAGTAAAAATATGACTGAGCAATTATTTACAAAGTAAAGTACCAGTCTACACAGAATGCTGTGATATAATATATGTTGAAATAAATGTTGTAAAGACGAGTGTTGAGTTTTCTCCAAAGTCATCAAAACCGTCATCCCATTGCAGATAATGCTGAACTCTCTACACAAGTACGAGCCTCGTGTACACATCGTCAAGGTGAACAACTCTCAGAAGAAGAGGATAACAAGCTTCAGTTTCCCAGAGACACAATTTATTGCTGTGACAGCCTATCAGAATGAAGAGGTATGCCAATTAACCTGTACAGACTACACACGCACCATAATATCATCATATCTATTCAAATTCAAAAGTCTCCCACTCCATTACTATTATATCACCTGAGCTTTTAGGTTCATTAAGCGTCCAGCTAACGTTGATGAGAGGGTTTTTGACAAGTATTCGTTTAAAGTCTCTTTTTAAGAGTCTGTCTTAAGCATCTAAATGACGTTAATGAGAGCATGTTGCCAGTAAACTCACTGTTACTCAATAAGTGACCATAAAAAAACCGAGACAACTAATATGAGAGAACCTGTTCGATGTGATAGCTTGACATCAAACGCTTGTCAGACCTCGATTTCTGTATCTCATTTGTAGTTGTCATTATTAACACTGCAGTGTGTGTTGATTATCCATGATATAATGTTCTCCTTCATTTTGTTGCAATTAATAAATAACCTATTTCTAAGCAGAAGAATACAAACAGAGCTTTTAGACAAGATTAATTAGAAACTCATTTGGATAAAAAGACATGTAGGCCAACTTCATCCTGAATCAGACAAGAGATATGCTATTGCTTGAATCGTTACGTCAAAAATGAACTCCACCACATCACATGTCTTTAGACTAACAATGTGATACAGAGATATGTATCTACGTTTTTAGTCTGTTGGGTTTCAGGTTTGTCTAACAATATACGATGAGAATATAGAGTAGTGTAATGGGGATTGGTCACAGACACCAGTTACATCACGTACCGGGAATTCATTTACATGGCTGCCGTGAAGAGGCAGGCATTGCGTTATAAATTTCGAATTAAGATTTTTAATAACGAAGAAAAAATATCAAAAACAAAAGAGAAAAATCGAGTGACTAAACTTGTGCATAAACACGTACCAGCAATGATTCGTTTTGACTTCTGAGTTCCGATATTGAACCTCCAGGCACTTTGTAATTAAACTGCATTTTCTAGTGTCCCTTTGTCACTTATTGAAAAGGATTTATATGTGTTTAAACAAATTCCTATGTTTTATCAAGGGTTTTTTCTCGATGATTTTTACCTGGTTTGATATGCACCCCTGGCAGATAGATTGGAATTTTATTCACACTTTGACGTCTTCGCTGTGACATTTGAATAAATACTTGTCTTGTGTCAAAATATGAACAGTTTTACAAGTGTTTAGATTTCATTTTTTTTCTTAATTTGATTCTTTAAAAGTACATGTTACAATTGTATCTAATTCTTACAGCAACATGAAAATGTGTCCATTTGAAATTTATCAATAATAATCAAGAAAAAAAATTGGCAACCCTTTTTCATTTCTGAAGGAAATTGCTACTCAAAGAGATTTAAAGGGGAACACGAGTGAATTCCTTAACAGCAGGCACGAACGCGCACACAAAAGCTTCTGTTCTCAAGTCTTTGACGTAGTTTGAAAAATAAGATCAACTTTATTATCGACAGAGTTATAATCATGTAAACGGCTCTGAAAATGATCAAAGGCAACTTTCAACTTTGCTATGATTCAATGTTTAAAGAAAATTATAAAAAAGACAGCCAACTCGAAAAAATGTTTCAAACGTGTGTTTTCCTAGCCTCACGTTATGTTTGCTCACTGTCCGATTTCAAATGCTTGCGTGATATCAGGTTACAATCGAACGGTCCCAGGGTAACACCTATTTGTAACTCCTTTTCAAGAGAGTGCTAATGATGGTCTAACGACGATTCGTTACGGCATCCATAAGCTATATCAATTCACTTATCGACAGAAAAAAAATGATTAGGAAAATCATTAACGCGATCATTCTGTGTATTTATGTCAGAGATTTTGTTTAAATTTCTCACGCAGTATTAATAATTGTGACTTGAGGTGGCGGCTGACATTGACTGAGCAGACTCGGCCAGAAGTACTGTGTGTGCTGATACTGTCTCGTTAAATCAAGTTTTAGCTGAATGTTATACAAGTAAATAGTCATTGACAGAAAGTCCTCGATCCCAACCCTGCCCGACACATCAAGATCTAAGCTAACGATGATATAATCTGTGATATGGGTCCCGGCACACAAACTGGTTCATTCTTTGTGCTGTTTGTACATTTCTGGAATTATTTAATATCTACAATGATTTGATTTAATCTTGAAAACATTGAAATATACGTAACGATCACTGTACATATTTATTTTAACTTCTAAAAGAGCGAAATTAGTTTTGTTCCATACTTGATAGTTGTTGATGTGCATATGCACAGTCTGGGTGATTTTCTCAAACTGCGCTTGAGGACTTTTATAACTATATGGCAGGTATACACATTCCAGAGGTCCATTAAAAATCAAAGTCATTTTGTTTGGGCTCTTTCTCAATCATTCCCTCCATCGCAAAGTGGAGTAATGCCTCGACATATACCATTGCATAGATATTATTCTTCAGATATATGAAAAATACATTTTTTCTATCTTATACCGCAAGCCTTCTACTTTTGTTGTATTGGTGTGTTGACACTGCATGTCTTTTACCTTTGTTCTATTGACACTTTGAGTCATGTACCTTTGTGGTTGACACTAATAAAATTTGTATTTACACTGTAAGTGTTAAACCTTAGTTCTATTAACACCAAAGTCATGCACCTTTGTTCTATTGACAATATAAATCATGTACCCTAGTGGTTGACGCTGTTAGTTGTATTACCATTTGTTTTATTGACGCTGTCAGTGTAATACTTTTTGTTTTATTGACGCTGTCAGTGTAACATTTCTTGTTTTATTGACACTGTGAGTGTAATACATTATGTTTTATTGACGCTCTGAGTGTAAAACATTTTGTTCAATTGACGCTTTGAGTGTAACACATTTTGTTTTATTGACACTAAGTGTAATACATTTTGTTTTATTGACGCTGTCAGTGTAATATTTTTTGTTTTATTGACGCTGTAAGTGTAAACATTTTGTTTTATTGACGGTGTAAGTGTAATACATTTTGTTTTATTGACGCTGTCAGTGTAATACATTTTGTTTTATTGACACAGTAAGTGTAAAACATTTTGTTTTATTGACGCTGTCAGTGTAATACATTTTGTTTTACTGACGCTGTAAGTGTAATACTTTTTGTTTTATTGACGCTGTCAGTGTAATACATTTTGTTTTATTGACGGTGTAAGTGTAAAACATTTTGTTTTATCGACGCTGTCAGTGTAATACATTTTGTTTTACTGACGCTGTAAGTGTAAACATTTTGTTTTATTGACGGTGTAAGTGTAAACATTTTGTTTTATTGACACTGTAAGTGTAAAACATTTTGTTTTACTGACGCTGTAAGTGTAAAACATTTTGTTTTACTGACGCTGTAAGTGTAAAACATTTTGTTTTACTGACGCTGTAAGTGTAATACATTTTGTTTTATTGACGCTGTAAGTGAAATACATATTGTTTTATTGACGCTGTAAGTGTAATACATTTTGTTTTATTGACGCTGTAAGTGTAATACTTTTTGTTTTATTGACACTGTAAGTGAAATACATATTGTTTTATTGACACTGTAAGTGTAATACTTTTTGTTTTATTGACACTGTAAGTGTAAAACATTTTGTTTTATTGACGCAGTGTAATACATTTTGTTTTACTGACGCTGTAAGTGTAAAACATTTTGTTTTATTGACGGTGTAAGTGTAAACATTTTGTTTTATTGACGCTGTAAGTGTAATACATTTTGTTCTATTGACGCTGTAAGTGTAATACTTTTTGTTTTATTGACGCTGTCAGTGTAAAACATTTTGTTTTATTGACGCTGTCAGTGTAATACATTTTGTTTTATTGACGGTGTAAGTGTAAAACATTTTGTTTTATTGACGGTGTAAGTGTAAACATTTTGTTTTATTGACGCTGTCAGTGTAAAACATTTTGTTTTATTGACGCTGTCAGTGTAATACATTTTGTTTTATTGACGCTGTCAGTGTAATACATTTTGTTTTACTGACGGTGTAAGTGTAAAACATTTTGTTTTATTGACGGTGTAAGTGTAAAACATTTTGTTTTATTGACGCTGTCAGTGTAATACATTTTGTTTTACTGACGGTGTAAGTGTAAAACATTTTGTTTTATTGACGGTGTAAGTGTAAAACATTTTGTTTTATTGACGCTGTCAGTGTAATACTTTTTGTTTTATTGACACTGTAAGTGTAATACTTTTTGTTTTATTGACGCTGTAAGTGTAATACATTTTGTTTTATTGACACTGTTAGATATTCGTCTATCTTATCATGTAGATATTTTGGGTTAGATTGTCTTTCGAATTCAGTTCTTTTGTAGACTTATACTGTCTTAAATTGCTGTCAATATATTGATGCTATTAATTTTCTTATATCGCTGTCCACGGTTCTTCAGCTGTACACCTCTGTGGTCAGAAATACAATATTGTATTTACAAATTACAGAGATTCAGCGATGAATATGGAAAAAACATACAATGACGTCTATACAATGATGTAGAGATATTTTCATTTCGTACATCATTCAAGCTTTCTATATGTGTTTGTGTTTCTGTCTTCCAGATCACTGCCTTGAAAATAAAGCACAATCCTTTCGCCAAGGCCTTCCTGGACGCCAAAGAACGGTGAGTAAATAGAAATCACACAAGAAATGACATTTTCTTACATCTCCATTTTATGATCCATAGTACTCAACTCGGGTGATTGCATACGACACACAAGTTCCTTATTTGAACCTCGGGCTTCAAAGACGGAAAAACAATCAAGTGAATGTATTGTTGTTTATTGTTATATTTAATCAGATCCTGGAGTTTATTTGATTTAACCTTAATGGTATCAGAGCGCAATAAGTGATCAATCCTTTAGTCGGCGAAATCGAAAAATACGAAATAATTGTCGTGTTAAATATTTAAACAACACTGATGGAATTTTCTTAGGGTTTAATTAATGGTTCAGAACTCAAAAAAAACACGGGGATAGTTGTGTGAATGTTAACTTGTGTCAACAAACTTGCTTCCAATAAATAGTTTATAGTTCATATAATACGTTAACACTGAAAACTTAAAAGGTCCCGGGTAGACCTCCACCAGTTTAAGTGTATCACAGTCAAATCTATTAACGAGGGTCTGTTTAAACAAGTCGACAAAGTACACTAAATAATTACAAGATACCTATCCAGTTATAACACGTAAACCATACACAATGATCCGATAGATGGTGAGGGAAGACATTGTACAGAAAGGTGTACTGTTTAGGATCGGTGACTATGTATTAAAATAAGTTTATGTGTATGAAAATCAACTCGAGTAGAGCGACAAAAGAACTCGGTACGAGTAAGACAAATGAGTTCAGATGAACGGGGAATAAGAGACAATGATTTGGATGCGAGTGTCGATGACTTGAATACGAAGTAACAATTTCAGATGGCATGTACCAAATCTTTGGAAAAGTGACGTTTGGTTCCACCATATACAATACGTACTTCCATAACTTGATAGATAATTAAATATAAACATATCTCTATGACACTGGATTTGTATGTTTTATAAATGTTTCGAGCATTTTATAATAATGCTGACTTGACACTTTTATATACAGGCCAGACCAGAAAGAATTCTCTGATGACCCTTTGGAAGGCCAGCGGTCACTCTCGCATTGTAAGTATATCTGTGATAAGTTAAGGCTAAAACAGTCCATTTTCGTAAGCTTGTCCTACCGCCGGTTTTGAGTATCTTTAGTACTGCAATATACATTATCTCAATACGAGTATCAAATAAGAAAAAATGCAATTTATTGTCAATCATTTTGTGTGGTACTTCCCTAGTGACATGACGGGCAATTATCAGTAATTTGTGGAGGTAAAACGACCGTATTGCTATGTATGTGTAACCATCTCACCTGCCCAGGTGTTCAGGTGATGTTTTCTGTGTGGTATTATCGGGCAGACAAATTGTTTAACATTGACTATCAATGTTGATCGTGAGGTGAACAGTAGAATACCGGCTTTACCGTGAAGCCTATTGGCATTAACCATAGACAACATTCAGTTTTAACTCCACACTTATCTATAATGAAGTAGCTGGGTGTATGGGGGTCGACACCAAGCCAGGAATATACAGGGGCGGATATCTATGTTAGGGCACAACTGTCACGCAATTGAGACGTACATGAGATAACGCCCCCAAAACACTATCTATAAATTACCCCACTGCCGAGAGGAGATTGCCATAGTCTGATAACGTTAGTATTGATAGGTGTTGATAGGTAATCGGGATCTTTGATGATCAGTAATATGCACAGGTAAATAACTGGCCGGTATGATATATATGCCAGGTAGTCACTTCTATAACTTTAACATGAGCTGTAACGACAATCTTAATGGCGAGGATGTAGCTTAACTTACACCTTTCATCTCCTCAGAGATACGTGTTAAAATTTACCCAATCATCGCCTACTTTAATTAAATTACCTGTTCAAAAGGTTGCGAACCAATCACAGCCCAGCGCTGTTTTACTTTGGATTACACTCCACCGTATTACTTACCATACAAACAAATTAAGTCGGGTATGAAAAGAGGCGAAAATCCTCCGTTTAATAAGGAACACAATGCCTCGTGTTTAACCCCTCCTTGGTGGCCTAGCAATGATTGTGTGTTATTAGTGACTTTTATGATAGTTTTCTGGGCAATTTAATTTGTTCCTCATCCTGAGGGTAATTCGACTTTATACGATGTGGAAACCTAAAACCCAGTGGTACCGTAGGTGATACACTAACTAGACCGTCATAGTGTTACTAGCTTTAATTCATTTGTTCACACCGTCCTCGTGTCAGAAACTCCATTTACATATATCAGTTTGCATATGAATATCTGTTGATTAAAAACTATTGGAACTTAATATGTTTTAAAAAAAAGTCAGTAATTAAATTTTAACTAACTGTTTATCAATGTCATTTTTCTCGGTGTTAGATAATCACGCGCAATAAGATACCATTTCTTCCATTGAGAGAAAATAATAATCACATTACATCATACTTACTTTAACGGTGTAATTTTAAATTGAAAAATGCTATACCATTGCGCAATGTTCAAGGACATATGGGTAACCTATGAGGATGTTGAAGGTCATCTAATGGTAGGTTTGGGAGGGAGGAGGAGGGGTGTGTGCTGTATAGCGGATATGACGTGCTCGTATGGCTAAGATTCGCCTAAGTTAGCTGACAGGCTGTCTATAATATGATTCCTCCGAAACCAATAATTGTCATCGATGGTATCTCCGATCTAAACGCTGTCATCTTAAATACTCGCATTTGTCGCCCCGTTTATTCGTTAACAATTGTCCCACTTAAAACAGATATAAAATGCCCTCCCATCTTCCACAAGGCTTTCAACACGTCCCTCGAATAAAACGGTGCAGATCTACTACCGCCCACCAGGAAAGGAAACTTATACTCGCTCCGCTGTCAGGCTCCACTGAATCTCGATTCTATCGCAACTGTCCTCCGTTTAAATGCAACGTTTATAATGAAAATGATATGGAAGGTGTTTGAATGGTTAAACGCCACCCTACCCCTGCCTGATAAGACATACATGCTTTCGCACCATTGTAATAGCATCAATTCAATTAATGTCTCTAGGGATACCATTCCACAATTTCAGATATTTTCCTCTTTAATTTATGTGAAATTCAAATCATGAAAATGTGAAGTTTTCATTTGGTATTTGACACGCAATCGTTTAATCTTATTTCACACAAAAAGTAATATTAATACAAGTGTCTTATTAAACTATCTTAGTTCAAACGAAAGGCCTCTTTTCTCACATCACACAAAGCTATGTGTCTGTAGAGCATACTTTCTGCATGAAACAAAGAATCAGTTCCTTCATGGATTATTGAAGCTGTGAGCACGTATCCCGAGGAAGCTTACTGCTTGAGTACAAAGTGTGACCAGAAATGTACATACCCGGTATATGTACTGAAATATATAGGACCTTAATGAGTTTTCATTTTATATGCGATTTCATGAAACAGTCATCTTATTCAGTCATTTAGTCAGATTTAATCATTGCGAGGTTTGACGGGCATAAATTAAAATTTCGAGACGAATTTTATCACATTACTCAGAAACGTTGCAGTTTAACGGATTTAAAAGTTAAAATATGGGTGACAAAATCAAACAAATGCAGCCATTTTGTTGCAAAATCTTCATTTCATGACGTAACGTAATTGCCCGTCTTATGACATCACAATCGTTTTCTGAATCGAGCAGCCAATCAAAAGCGCCCAGCGTGTACTGCCCTTCTGACATATCTAAATATATTACATGAAATCACTAGATCATATATATGACATGGAAGAAGTTTTATTAGCTTTTAATCAAATGTCTATTTTGTACTAATAAAACTTTACAAGAAATGTGATGAAATAACACATATTACATATGTAATACATATCACCTCTTATCTACTGGTAGTCAATATCTTATATATCTAATACATTATCAACAATTAGTCAAAATATACCTTGAATGTGATAAATGCTGCCCTGAGTAATTGTCAACTTGGTTTTCCATTTGAACATGTATACATGGATGAACTATAATGTTCATTGTATCGTCATTATTCGTTGATAACTATTATTTTATTTCTGTAGTGGCGAGCACGTGGTATATACCTCCGGGAGGCCACTCCTTGGTCCCTCCGCCTGCGCACCAGTTTCCCAACGCAATCAACCTGTCTAACGCCCATTGTGACCGCCTCAGTCTCCGACAGGCACGTACCTCGCCATACCCTCATCCTTACCAACGGCGGTCGCCCCCTCACGGTACGTATATTACTGGAAAACATAGACCAAATCGCAAAAATTCTTCGTCATGGATTGTGCAGAGTGCAATGTAACGATATGCAGAAATTCCTTAAGAAAAGAACATCCTGCAATTATGAAAAAGAAATCTTTCATAATTTGCTTTAAAATCTTTGGATAATATTTTGAGCAAGTGTCTCTCTCTAGAGCCGGATAGAAAGTGCCTGTACCTAGTTTCAACTTTTCTCAATATTTTGTTCCCTCTTCATTTCGTTCATGTTCCATCAAATAGCACAAGTGAATAAATGAAGTACACGATTAGAATGGGATATATATATAGTCTGTAGTTAGCTAAAGCTACATGATACGTCGACAAGTCGAAGATATTCAGAGATTCCCGACTGACTTAAGATAATCACTAATTAATATGATAATCTGATAACCATTACTATCAACTGCTCGAGGTACTCCAATCTCGATTTGAATGAAGACGTCATCGATGTCAAGTGATAAGGGGGGCAGTAAGCGGTAAATTTGGGACAATTATCAGCTCTTAAGAAAATGTTTTTATGATGTTTGACCAGGCTGTGTGCCCCCAGTAAAATGGATAGTAAAGTGTGTGTTGATCTCGAGTCTTTCAGCGCCCATTAATATCGATTGCACTGTCTCCTTAGTTAGCACCTAAGTGCCACTCGGACAGACAAAACGTCCTACATAAATCCGGACCCAACTTTATACTAGGTCCGTTCCGCTGCTCGTAAAATTCCGTCTTTTCTATCTCCCTTTAAGACCTAACCGGCCTCTTTGATGTACAGCAATTAATTTCCTTTAAAATACATCTATTACCTAGGACAGGGGTCTGATGACTCGGTCGTATGTTTTTATTGAAAAACTGGCTGTATTTAGTACTAGACTCTCGGTGGATATACCCCTTACGGACTATTTCAAATAATTTAACGGTTGACGGAATCCTTTTCAGTTTCTTTATTCTCCTTTATTGAAACCTTAAGCGATCTACGATATCACGATGGCTGCTGATAACACTAAAAGGGGTGGTGAACAGGGTTACTCCTCTACACCGTTCCTATTCCAACACAAAATTATCATTTTATGACCTAGCATTAATTGTCCTGGTCATTGTCCGATAAATTCCTGGACATTACTGATATAACCGATAGGAATTCAAAACATTTTTTTTTTCATATTTATGAATTGTCTTGATAAAAACGAAATCCTTATACATATATTTGAATGAAGCATTTTCTTAAAACAAGAAAAACACTATTTGGAAAAAAGGGAACATCTCTTATGAATTTGCAACCTGTTCTGATGTGTGTTGCGAGTTGATCTTTTCAAAGGCTCCCGAATATAGACAGGCTTATGTATTGCTAATAATAAAAATCGTGTAACTAACAACATTTGAATAGCCGAACAGGAATCAATCAGTTTTTAATCTTAATGTATTTGTCTTTTTCTTGCCAATATTTAAAATCGTGTTATTAGCAACATTTGAAAGGCCTAACAGTAATCAATCAGTGTTTAATCTTTATGTATTTGTCTTTTCCTTGAAACATAATAAATCACGTGTTTTGAGACGTATAAAAGTGGTGATATTGCCTTTTTTTAAAAACTAGATTTCATTTGTTCTGTTTTCAGGAGGCTACCCAAGAGACGTTACCAGCAATATACCTGTTCTTAACATAGCCGACAACTGGCCACATATGTCTACCGGAAGTCATGGAATGTTGGGACAGTCGAGTACAACAGCACCGCAATCACAGTACGGCGTGTGGCCAATGGGTGGGCCCATCAGTAATCTATCACCCAATCAGAACTGTGCAATGCCGTACCTGCGCTCAAGCGCTCCCTACACGTTATGCAATAGTACGACAACGATTTCCAGTGTACCGAATGTGACTCTATCAAACTCAGTGCCTACGTCATCGTTTGAAACCTGTGACATTTCCCCTTTCTCATCAAATCGTGATGTTTTCAAGAACAATGCGTGGGGACCTCTGTCTCCTCCACCGATCTAAATTTAGAATTTGCATTGTGATTGGATGGAATTGAGTCACGTATGTCTGTGATAAAAAAATTGTATGAACCGGTTTTGGATGCAAGCTCTCATGTTTGTTACCCTGAATGTTATGTTTGTGTGGTTAGTTAGTATCTCCATGTCACCCAAGTGCTGTATAATCCACGAGATCCTTCAAAATAGTTTATGGTGAATCCGTAAAATAGCATAAGTCTTTCACATAGTGTTTTTCCATAATCAGTAAATAAAAAAGGAGAGCTTTAAAATTGCAGTCGTTCTTAGACTACTTTATAGCAATATCTTTAGGTTCATTTTTTGTCAATCTTTTACAATGATTATATTTCTGTATCTACCTGGTGACAAGTGGGGTTTGCACAGGTGTTAGAAGTAAACAACTGATTAGGTTTTGTACCTGTATATATTTTCTAACTAACTACCAGTCTCACACCTCTAGCCCACAAATCTTAGCGGCCACAATGAACAGCCGCCATTAATTTTATCGGCGTATTCGATTCGATCACTAAGTATTCATCTAAATCATCAAGGTCTCACGAACGATCGTTATTGTATTTACTAAAATCCGGACCAATCGACCGGACGGATTTCACGGATATCTTGTTATTTATTTCGACCCTCAATCAAAATTATTAGCTCTACGTTGCAATTGATTTGTGCGAAAAGGTTTAAGATATTTGTTACGCGAAGATTAATGAATTGGCACAGGTGTTCCAAGTAGAGGATATTATCTCTGAGAAATGTCACTGGCAGCAAACATTGTAGCCGGGAAGCTAAAGAGAGGGAGAGAGCGCGGGCGTATTACTATCAAAGACACGATAATGAGTGGAAGCGTGAGGTTATTGTGCGAGTGAAAGAACCAGTGAAAGTAATGAGCGGAAGGAATGAAGAGAATTTCTGGAAGGAAAAAGACGGATATGAGAATACGGAACTACGAAAGAAGAAATAAGTCGATGTTGATATTCACAGCATTAAAGTATATTGTAAATATTGTAAATATTTTATATTAAACCTGACTTAACTGATACGGAACCGTCTTCGTTTCCTTATGTAAACAATAAATCTCTTTGTACATTTACATTGCTTGTGTGATTGTTTTGATTTAAGTCTAGGGACGTCTTCATAACCAGTCATCATAATCATTACCAGTTGCCATTCATATAGATGGCTCGTGGAGTACTATATATGATATTTATTTTTTTTAAATCCTATTTTTTCTTTGGTGTTGAGCGACAAGATCTGTAGTAACGGACTAAAACGTTGAGAAATAAATTTGTCCTTCTTCAATCTTACTCGTTCTTCACACGCCTGAATCCATACCCGCCCCAAATAGGGGCCGATCTGGTAGACCTGGGCCTGATCACTCGATATTTTATTACAAGTTCGTCGTATTGACTAACCATTCGATATGTTGACTTAAGTCCACATACATAACAAATTACAGAGAGGCACCAGCCCTTACTATTTGTGTGGTCCCAAGCACTAACGCACCGGTTCTTCTATCAAAAAGCGTAAAGCGTTCGGTATGTTTACTAAAAGACGCGATCAAACAGAGTTAAATTAATTATTACCAAACCGGAGCTGGTGTTCTCTACAAATGTTTTATTTCGTTTAATGTCTAGCTGCTGTAGGTGGACAAATACTACACTCTACGATAAATTAAACATTCATACGAAGCTAATTGAAAATCTTCAGATTCAAGTAGAGACGTCTTCTGCAAGTGTTGTCTGAGAAGGAACGTTGACAACGGTTACATAATGCTATGTTATGAAAATAAGAAGGAGAGAAAAACTCACGAACTCGGGAAGCTTTGCAGGATAATTTAGATTTAGACGACATTAGGAAAAGGAAAACCTGTCATGAAACAGCTGCAATTTGTGACAGAAATAATACGCTAAGTGTATGTAAGTGTATAAATGTACCGAAGCTGTCTATTATTTTAACTTCCCTGACCTTGCGGATGATACGAAAAAATCGCATCAAGAAGGCGAGTATTTAAGAATCTCAAAAGGTCAATGATGCATAACATAATAGTTCACAGCAGAAACATAAATTATTGCAGTACAGAGCTTTGTCAGATTTGTGTGTATGGCTCTTAAACTAATTTCCCTTTTAATGAGTTTTCTTTCATTTCACCGAGCATCTGGCAAGGTTAAACAGAAAAATCGTCATTACTGTCATAAATCCCATATGCAATGGAAAAGAATGTAAGTAAATTTGATATTTCAGGAAAATATCGCCAAAATGGCAGTTTATTGAAATCTAAATTTGCGATGTATTCATTCAATATCTCTTTATTTTTTGACGTCACTTGTTTATGACGCCATGACGCAATAACGTCATAATTGAAGCAATTTCACCTTTCAGCAGTCAATCACAGTTCCGCTAAGTCTTAGATTATACGTCATGACCAATTCATGCAGTGGGTGTTATTACACAACGTAGTTATACGGTTAATTCAATATCAAACATCTAATAGGTTATGACGTCATACATGAATTTTATAAATGCGAGACGGTTACGTCAGTTGGGAAACTCGTCAACAACGTCGGGGCAACCACTTTGAGAACATTTTTGGAGTTTGATCGCAAATCATTATCAGTCATATAAATGAAAAACTGAAGCCATTTTCACAACGTGACAAAATGAAGCATAATTCAAAGAGATAAAGTTCATGTTTGCATGCAAACCGGGCCATAAATAAAGGATCTTACATGAGATTCCGCTGGATATATGATATATGAAACGAGTCAAACAATTTTTAAGACTATCTAAAAGGATAATTTGTGGCGAGTGCCAAAAAACTCACATCAAATAGGTTATATTACATATGTGCAATATTTACAAATAATACATGGGTATATTTACTGAATAGTAAGGTAGTCATAGAGGTTACACAACCGGTTATTGTGTATCATTTCTTTCACTCGAATTAGTAATTTTTCAAAAGTACGAAAAAATATTGAAAAACAACCACCGGGAGTGGAAGAAATACAATAATACAACAACCACGAGTTTATGTGGCCTGTTTCTACCACAATAAGATATCTATTCAGATAAGGCGTAATGATCCGACATATTGTGAAATGCCACAAATTAATATGCAGAAAATCTGAAAATATTTTTACGCTATTTTGATTATATTAGTTTTTCAATAGCTCGGATACATATATCAAATTCCGGAATGTTTTTCTCCTTTTTTGCGTTGATATACATAATTTGTCCATATAGATCTGATTTTTTTTAAAAAAATAATTTTTTATGTTTTATGTAGATAATGTTTTCAAGTGTGTGCTTTCTTTGCCATATTTGCCGATTAAATGATGTTTTATTTTTTTTTGTTTTGTCTATAAGACCGAGGTTTATGTAGACAAGTCTCATTTTCCTAACAAAACTAAACATTTTAATGACATCATATATTTCAGTCTTTCCGAAAGCAACATTTTGCTTCCATTCCTTACGAGATGGAAGACAAAAACTTCCACATCTAACGTTATGTATTGAAAACATTTAAATCTAGATATAGCAAGCAGACAGGAGAAAAATTATCAAGTTCTATAGAAAACTAAAATTACAAATAGAAAGAAATAAACAGGAGATAAACAGAGTTAGACAAATAAAGCATTAGTAGGAAGGAAACTTTTACCACTGCACGACATACAATCGCGATGAGTGGTTGCATTTAATGGAATAAAAGCATCATTTTGATCACCAGCATATCTCACTGATGCTGCTAAACGGATGTGCTTTAAATCACTTCTATAGCCTTTGTTCGTGAATAGCTTATAAAACAAACGATACTGATGTAATAGTGTAACTTCATATGGCGAGGAAACAAAAAAGTAATAGAATCTTTGAAAAATAACAAATATAGTCAAATTATCAAAAACATGCTTTGGTGTTAATACTTTGTTATCTTATATAGTATCAAGCCACCCTAAAAATGTAAATAGTCTGAGAAACCCTGGATAACTTACCACCTACCTTATATTGTTTAACCGGCTGCTCTATGGCTGGGCAACCAGAGAGAGGAAAGTCTCCAGGTCTCCTGTGTTCTTCATGTATAAGCGCATATGCATATACTTATAATATCATCGATACTAAAATTCCTGGAATGGACATTTAAAAATGATCTTCAGTAAAATGGACTGATCCTTCTAGTATTGTTTTTTCATTGTGGGCTTCTAACCAACAAAATAATGAGCCAAGGAGCAAGTACATGTACAATGTAATTGAAATGGGAAATAACAAAATGTTTGAAAATGAACATCTCCCCTCTCATATTGTAGATGCCTTTTGATAAACATACACGTTCTTATATTTTCCTGTCATCAAATCCTTATTCTCTTATTTGTTTTCAGGCAGAAAAATGCAAAAGGGATTGGTAAGGTTTTGTTGAAACAGATGGAGCAGAGTTCTAGAAAAACGAAACAGTAATATTTTTGTTCATTTTCCTACACAGTCTGTATCCATTTCTAATTTTTTATTGGTTTTTATTTTCATTTTGTATTTTTGCTCTTTCTGTCTATCTGTTTTGTCCTTTGTAATGTCCTCAGGCTTTTGTTCACTGTCGTCATGGAATGAAGGGTTTCGCTCTTCAATACAGTGAATCAAAATGATATTTATTTATATATATATATATATTGTTATAGTCTAAGACCAAATATGAACACTGTAAAAAGTTATCCCCATGTACCTTTACATAGATATTGTTTTCCGTCGAAATATGAATTTATACCGGAAATGGGTACAAACAGTTTGCTATCTACAAATTGTGTCCCAATAGGAGTTGGCTTGCCGTATCAAAAATCTTAGGAGGGCACATTCAGAGACATTAATTCTGCATTAACTTCATATGGAGGACAAATATTCCTAAAATCTGTTTTGACAAATTCATAAAAATCTACGGTTGTATTTATAAGTTGTTTAAAGTTTGGACTGATGTAATGATATTTTGATAGTTTACATGTGTTCAGTTGGAGACTG